TTCTAGATTGCCCTTCCTTTCTATAGAAGGTTAAACTAACAACATTTGCCATCAAGAAAATGGGATAGTTACCCTTTCCACATTCCAGAGTCGTCTTCTATCTACTTCCTTAAAAGAAATCTGAAGAAAGAGACTCAAGATCGTTTTGATTACATAAAAAGGGATGTGAACAGCTCTTCTTAAGGACCATTCTTCAGGTGTGATGAAGAATGTCCTGTTATTTTCTAAAAGGATCACCAGAGTTGACAATTTTGTGGAATGTCTATTTTGAAAGTAGAACTCAATATTCAGGACATCATGATAACTAGAGGAATTACCTAGGGCTTAAATCTCAAAACTGTCTCTCTCTCTCTCTCCCTCTGTGTGTGTGTGTGTGTGTGTGTGTGTGTGTGTGTGTGTGTGTGTGTGTGTGTCTGTCTGTCTCCCAAGTTTTGCCCCCATGGATGACCCACTCAGAGCCATCGTACATCAAATGGGCCATTCAGTTGCTGTGAGAAATGGCCACCAGTGCATATGTTTGACTCAACTGCTGCACTGTGACTCTATTTAAAGTTACCCAGTGTTCAGTGTTGCCAGTTTCATAATAACACCTAGTATTTGTATATCACCTTTGGCTGAAAAACAGACTTTAAAATAATATACTTGGGTTTTATCACAAATGTAGGTGGCAACTGTGGTCCTTTCCTTCCTCCAGTTGAGGAAAATGAAGAAAGAGGAATGAATGACTTGTGTAGGCTCACTAAAGCATTTGTAAAACCTAGGCTTTTATTTGCCTTCGGTTTAGTTTAATATAATTTGTTAGATTGAGTACTAATTCTTTTCTCATCCTTTTTTGAGATCTAATTCACAATTCACCTTTTTTAAGTACACAAGCCACGATTTTTAATATATTCACAGTTGTACGACCATAATCACTATCTAATTCCAGAACATTTTAATCACCTCGAAAAGAAGTCACATACACATTAGCAACCAATCCCTATCCCCTTCCTTCCCCAGCTCCTGGCAACCATTAATCTACTTTCTATCTCTATGGATGTGCCTTTTCTGGACATATGTAAATTGAATCATACAATGTGCGGCCTTTTGTAACTGTCTTTTTTCACTTAGCATAATATTTTTAAAGTGAGTACTTCATTCCCTTTGGCTAAATACTATTCCACTGTATGGATATACCATGTTTTGTTTATTCATCAATGATAGACACTTGAGTTGTTTTACTTTGGGTCTGTTATGTGTAAAGCTTCTGTGGACATTCTTGTACAAGGTTTTGTGTGGAAATCTGTTTTCAATGCCCTTGGCTTTACACCTAGGAGTAGAATTGTTGAGGTATATGGGAGCCCCATGTTTAACTTTTTGAGGAATTGTCAACCTGTGCTACAAAGAGGCTGCCCAATTTCACATTCCTACCAGCAGTGTAGGAGGGGACCAGTTTCTCCACATCCTTGTCAGCACTTGCTATTTTCTGTAATTGTGGTTAGCCATCCTAATGAGTGTGGTAGCTAATGATTTTTATTTGTCTTATATTTCAATAGCTTTAGGGGTAAAAGAGGTTTTGGTTATATGAGTGAATTGTACAGTGGTGAAGTATAGGATTTTATTGCACCAAGTAGTGTATATAGTACCCAATAGGTAGTTTTTCACTAATGGTCTTTAAACAGTAATAATTTAAAGAAATAGAAAACTGAGACCTTGGGTTTTTTTGTTTGTTTGTTTGTTTTTGTTTTTGTTTTTGTTTTTTTTGTGAGACAGAGTCTTGCTCCTGTTGTCCAGGCTGGAGTACAATGGCATGGTCTCAGCTCACTGCAGCCTCCACCTTCAGGGTTCAAGCAATTCTCCTGCCTCAGCCTCTCTAGTATCTGGGATTACAGGCACCCGCCACCACACCCAGCTAATTTTTGTATTTTTAGTAGAGACGAGATTTCACCACGTTGGCCAAGCTGGTCTTGAACTCCTGACCTCAGGTGATCTGCCTGTCTCAGCCTGCCAAAGTGCTGGGATTACAGGTGTAAGCCACCATGTCTGGCTGACCTTGGGTCATCTTCTAAGCTGGGAGAATAGATTATGTAGACCATAGAAAGGGAATCCCTTTCCTCACCAAGCTTCTCCCCATTTTTATTGCCCCACTCCTTATCCATGACAGACTTTCAGGGATCTGCACTTAATGGGAGGCAGAGAAAGCTGCTTGAGGCTTCACCACCTCCCTTCATTCCCAGAGTCCCACATTCAGTTTACACAGGGAGGCTTTTCCAGCTTGCAATCCCAACTCTCTGCAGAAACTCTCCCACCATTAACACCTGGCTTGGTGCATTTACTGTTGTCACCATCATCAGCTGTTCTGGAATACCCTCTACACCATTGGATGCCTTCCTCATATTGATAGCGATATACAATACCGAACATGCCCATGGCCCTTATTATACATGATTACAGTTAATCTTTATACCAACTCTGTAATTCATGTTGTTGTTATCCCAGAAATTTTAGAGATGAGGAAATTAAAGATAAAGGACACAAAGTCAATTTCCTTGGCTACACAGCTATCAATGTTAAAGTAGAAATGACTGGGCAAGGGTGTAAGGTCAGCTTTGTCTGTCCGGCTATTTATTTCTTGGTCTCTTCTCAGGTTCTGAAAGTCTGGAGAACTCTCTTACACTGAGAAATCCTGAAAAGTGATTTCTTCATCCTCCCTCCCCTAATGACACAATAATCCTGGAGGGAGTTACAGAGCTAAGTAGGCCTGGGATGACTTGGTTTTATTTAATTATAATTTTAATTATTCCATTAAGCCATTTATGTCTCTAGAGTCAGTTTTTCTTCTCAGATATTTTCTGATAACTAGAAAATACATTTATAGTTTTTTTTCTTGGTTTTAATTGCAGTCTTATTCATTGGATCAGTTTAGGTTTAGAGTAAATTCTTGGATAAGAATAATCAAGGTTAACCCCATACACACAGTGCAATAATCTTTTTTTTTTTTTTTTTTTTTTGGCTGTGAAACAGAATCTAGCATGGTCATTTCATCCCAGGTGAAGGATGGCTCTCGCTTAAACAGTCTTTGACCACACTTTCTATGATTTTGCTGGTGTGAAACATAAATTATTAGAATACATGGCAACAGTGTTAGAGTGGACTCTGGATTTTTTATGCCAGACTTTCGTTAAGTGGGAGAAGAGAATACAAATTTCAACATTTCACTAGCAATGGAAGTAGATGAGCCTCTAGGGTTTTTGTTTGTTTGTTTGTTTTAACTTTTATTTTAGGCTCAGGGTAAATGTGCAGGTTTGTTACGTGGGTAAACTTGTGTCATGGGGGCTTGTTGTACAGATTATTTTTTCACCGGGGCAATAAGCCTAGTACCCAGTAGTTACTCTTTCTGATCCTCTTCCTCTCCCACCTTCATTCTCAAGTAGGCCCTGCTGTTTGTTCTTCCTGTATTTATGTCCATGTGTTGATGAGCTGCTATTGTTTTTAAGGGTCTAGTTAAATTGAAATGGTACCTTTTAAAAAATATTCACCATTGAGACATGTGTTTTTTAGTAGCAAAAATACCATAATGAAAAACTCAGGGCCCCAAATGCTTTTTCCCTAACTACCTATCACAATCTCTCAACCTATTTAAGAGCAAAAAAGAGGAACCTGGTATCTGGGAAAATACAGACATTATCTATCATTTGGTATGGGCTGTGACCGTATATTTTACTTTCATGACAAGGTAGGCCTACTTTTCTTAAGTTTTAATCCTTCCTTCCTGCAAAGTTAGAAGTTGGCATCTTAAAGATAGGATAGGATGAGGGCAAAGATATTTCTTGTATTTCTTCTGGAAAGAGGGGCAGGGGTGTTTGTGAAAATCTTCAGGGGAAGACTAAAGAATAACTATAGGGAATAGTGGCAAATTAATTTAAATTAACATACTGTAATAAAGCCAACCCCTGAGAACTGTTCTTCTGGATGTTGTCATAAATAACACTCTATTCATTACATGGGCAAACATGAGTTCAAACTAAATGAATCTATTGAATTTTGTTAAAAAGTCATTTAGCTCAGGGTTTAGCTCAGGTTCATTCTATTTCTTTTTAAATTTTATTTTCAATTACCCATATAAAAATTTCATGTATTTATGAGGTACAATGTAATGTTTTGGTATATGTTTATCATGGGGAATGAATAAATCATATTTAAAAAAATGCTTTAGCTCTAGTTCATAGCAGTATTGAGAAGAACGTGTTTCTGAGTTGCAAGGATCTTTACTGGAGACTTTTTTCTGACACTGGATCTTTGACATGAGTGATGTATAACTAATACTTTGGTGATTCCTGTAATTGGCATAGTTCTAAAATAAAGCAGACACAAGTTGTTTTCTATTTAAATATTTTATGGCAGTAATGGAAACATTTGGGTATATGCTCAACCTTGAATCTTTGTAGTATTTGTTACTTAAATATACAGATACCCCACTGGTCAGGGTCTGTGCTATTCCTCGGGCCTCTTTGTTTCTCCAGATCAGCCCTGGCTTTATATTTTCTGTTTCAAGCTCTTCCAGATTCCATCTTATCAATACTTCAGAAACCTCTAAGGCAGACAATGTAATGGAGGTAGTCAGAAGACCTGGATTTGAATACTCCATCATTTGCTTATTTTGTGACTCTGGGCAAATTATTCAGCTTCTTGAGGTAATTTTTCATCTATAAAAGTGAAAAAATGCTTAATACTTATTTCTAGTATTAGGCCTTTAATTTTCCATGCAAAGCTCTACTCTCATAATTCATTTTGAATCAATGATAGCTTGAAAAACATCCCAGTAATTTTCCTCCAGTCATTCCCCTCATGTCCCACCTCCATGTTCACCACTGACATCAATATTTGTCAGCATTTAAACAAATTGTAATGATTTTCCTCCAAAAGGGATTTTACTAATTCTGTGTTCAACATTGACATTTTCCCACTTCACTTCATTTTGGGAAGTGGGTAAATAATGAATAAAATGAGTATTGATACACCTTGCAAGACAAATTGACTCACCTGAATTGGATCACTTTGTTTCAGAGCAATATTGGAATACTTAACTGAAGTTTTTAGTGGAGCCACAGGAAAGACTTCACGGGCAAGGCTGCTATAGGAGCTCACAAAGAGGTGGAAGAAGGGTGAAGGAAAGGTGAGAGAGGGTCTGATAGCTATCTGCTGCCCAGGTGAGAATGAGCATAAACAAAGGGTTAAGCATCACATGAAGGGCATGGGGATCCTTGGAGGTGTGGGACCCACAGAACCAATCAGATGGGCTCCCTGAGGCTACCTGACCAGAACTTTGGGTACCTGATAAGCAGGATGGCTAGGAAGGGGCTTGGAGAGGAGAGGAAGGCAATGAAGCTGCCTGCTGGCACAGGTTGCCTTCGCCAGCAAGGCAAGGAAAGGGCAGTGTTCAGGACCCAGCTCAAGCCAGCAGTGGAATATCTATAGCGAGGACTGGAAGCTCATTACCCCAACAAAAGTGATGCTGCCGCTTAATTCAACCCTGATAGGGAATTATTTCAGTTGCCCAAAGTAATAATATTCTTTGTGGGTCACTTTGATGCTGTAAAATATTTTGTTCCTAGCAGATGGTATAAACTTAGTGAATGTTTGCTGAATTTACTCATTCACTTATTCATCCAAAAAATACTTATGAAACTTCTGTTTTAGGCCTGACTCTATTTTAGAGTGTAGAAATATAGTCATGAACTAGATAGTCAAGTCCCTTCACAGGGTTTCTATTCTGGAAGGGGAGTCAGATACTTAAATAAAGAAGCAGAGTAGTATCAGGTATTGAGAAGTGCTTATCATTAGTCTTATCTAGACTGATATTTTAGATACAGTGGTCGGGGAGTGGTATTTGAGGTCTGAATCATAAAAATTAGCTGCCTACCCCAGGATCCATGCAAAGAGAACCTCAAGTGGATTCAAAGCATATAACACATGCCGATTTGTTCTATCTCTTAAGTAGATCTTATATACTGCGTTCAAAATAGTTGTTGAACATGTTCCGTATTCCAGATAATGGGTTAGGTACTACAGATCTATAAGCAAAAGCCATGGCCCCTGCCTTCAAGGAATTGACATTCCAATATGGAAATCCAGAGGTGTAAACAATTACAATAAAAAGTGAGAACTGCCCTCAGGGAGGTAGGGTCAGTGTATGTGGGAGACTTCTTGAAGAAGTGCCTTTATTGTAATGAAAATAGACTATCTGTGTGTTGGGGAAAAAATGTCCACGGGTCTTTCATGTTTCTGCAAGCCTTGTCAACAAAGAGTATTATTTGGGACTACCACTGAAGGATGTTTGAATGTTGAACCCCTTGGAGGTTAGAGGTAGAGTGTCTCTCTTGAGCAGAGAGGTTTCTTTACTAGGATACTAAAAAAAGTTTCCTTCTAAGGAAAAAGTTGGGCAGGTTTCCTTATAACCTCTTTAAAAGCTTGGAGTTTCCAAAGCTCAGGGTTTCTCACCTTTGGTGCAAACTGACTGAGTATGCAGTGTCTACCTTGGCCACTCCCTAATGACCCATAGGATTTGGAGGACAGGAAGAACCAACATGAATATTGGAGCTTGTGCTGCTTGGTGTGCCATTGCTGATAACGTCCTTTGTGTCTGACTCAGGAGTCTGTGTCTTCTGCAAGAATCCATGCAATTGTGGTGGCTCCCTTGTTAGCTTGGAAGCAGATAAAATTTCAGGCCCTTAATCATTCTTAACATGGTGACAATATGGAAATTATTTCAGCTTTCTGAGCTTTAATTTTCTCAGTGGAAAACTTGGGATAAAAATTCTTCACAAAATCATTGTACAAGCCAAATGGAAGGTCATAGGTGTAGCAGAGATGGTTAGCTATTCCCTAATATATGTTCTCTCTCTCTCCTATAACATAGAAATTGTAGTGTGGCAAAGGCTACCAGACTGATGAAAACAACATCTCCTAGCCTCCTAGCTAGGATCAAGCAATATAGCTCTGGTTAATGGGGTTTGAGCAGAAGCACAACTTGCAGATGATGATCTTGCAAGGAACTAAGTTCTCTCCCCTTCCTCTTCCCTCCTTCTCATTGCCTGGAATACAGACATAGTGGTGAGACATCTTAGAACATTTGGATGGGAAATACCCTGCACATGGCAGAGCACTAAAACAGAAAGGAGTCTGGAGCCTCTGTTCTTTTGCTGTCACCATTTAGGTCCTGGACTGCAAATATACAGACTGTCACATCAGAAAAAACCTTCAGTCTTGTTTGAGCCACTCCTATTTGGCATGTTTATTGAAAAAAATGAACCTGTATTTTAATTAGTGGAGGAGTGAGAAGATCTGAGGGATTTAGAAAGATGCTATTAGTGATGAGAGAGAATAGAAAATAGAGGCAGATAAATTAGAAGGAGGGAGATCACCTAGCTGCCCAGTAATGTGGTTATTTTTCAGAGGTTTTGAATGTTGGTGAAGCTTTGTCTTGCCTGATATGGGGAATCTTGCAAGAACTTTGAATTCCTTAGTCAAATAAATTAGAAACACACTGAGTTAAAGTTAAACGTAATTCTTTATTATAGGTATTACAAGTGTTTTCAGCACTAAAGGATTTTATGCCTCTTAAGAGAGGGCCGAAAATAGTGTTCGTCAAACTTATCTGAAAATGAGATCTTCTATCTAAAACTTCTAGTGCTCATGGCCACCAGAGGACATGTGATCCAGTGCCTGTGAGATTTAAAGACATCCACCAGCCCTCTAGAAAATTTTAATCTGCACTACCCTCCAAATAGTCCACAAAGCAATTCACAAAGAAAGGTATTTGTCAGATATGAGGATGAAATAAACATGTGCATGACACACACACACACACACACACACACACACACACACACACACCCCTTTTTCAATCAAGAGCCAAAAGTTGCAGATACACAAGAAACCATTTGGTATCAATTTTCCTCTCTACAGAGTTTAGCTTTCTGTTTTTGTTCCAAGGTGTGGATGCATAGGACGAGGATAAAATCTTGAAAAAGATAACAGTTCCAACCTCCATTCCACTTGAAGATCTACATGAAGAAAGTACTTGCCAGAGCCTGAGCAAGGTGAATACAATTCTCTTAGCAAGAGGTCACCCTGCATGGTGGATGGCCTTCTTGCTCAGGAAGTTCATGACAATCCCAGAGGCAAAATGAAAGGAGGCAGAACAGAACATGTAAAGTCAGAATCCTGTGACTTTGGCCCTGAGAGTGTTTGATCTGGCAGGAGATATTTTCCATGAGTAACCGAGTCCTGTATAGCACTTATGGGATCAAATGGCAGTATACATTGGATCAATAGCTAATGTCTTAATTCTCTCCATGACCAATGTGAGGAAAAGTAATTCTATTTAAATCCTTCACAGAAAAATACTTCATGCAGAATACTGGGGGAAGAGAATTAAAAGTTGTGATCTCATGTCAAATATTCCTGCAGTTTTCTCAACAGTACAGTTAATCCTTTGGGCTGGCAAAAGCAGGTTTTCTTTCATTATTTTGGTCTGTATTGGCAACAAAGTTATTAGGTGCAAAGGAAACACACAGAGATGTCACACCACGCTTGACACTGTCACTGTGGTGATAAGGTTTTCTCCAGCTGTCAGTGTCAGAAGGATTTCATTCTGCTTGATGCCACACAGTTTTGTGGTGAGAAGTGGCAGGCAAAGCCCTTTGATTCCTTATAATGTCTTCATTAATAATAGCAGTCACCAATTACCAAAGAAAAGGAGTGCAGAATAAATTGTAAACATTATAACCTGGGATCTTTATGGAGGATCTTCTATATTGTTTCATGGCCATGGAGGTGAATTCAGCAGTAGGATTTTTGAATGCTGGAAAGATAAGGGAAAGCTTCCATTTCTTCTATGCATGTTGGTCACTTAAGACATTATGGGTTGTGTGCACAGTTTTCTCATTTTCTTCAATGGCCTGGGTCATTACTCACCCAACAATCCAAAACAAAGTACAAATTGTGTCCCTAAGTCTATACAATGAGAAGGTGACTTCTTTTTAAGAGCCATGAGAAATCCTCAGAATAAAAGTCTTAGAAATCAATAGAAATCCATCTCATCTCAGTTTGGGGAATACCAGGTTGTGTAATATTAGGTTTCTTCTTTGTGGGGTTCCTGGAGACTTTAATGAGATGATGCATTCAGTGAAGCTTTAAAACAAATCTTTGTTATGGGCCTAGATAGTTCCATGAAACCTCTATTTTGGAAAGGCTAAAGGAATTAGTTAATCCTTTTATTATCTAACGAGCACATACTGTGCCTACAAAGAAACCAAAGTTTTCAAGAAACGCCCTCTAACCTGGCAGTCAGACCAAAGTCCACATTCTTGGTGAGGAAGTTAGGCCTAACAATGTTTTAGCAGAGACATAATTTGATCCTTGGGACTATTTAAGAATACAGCAGTAACAGTTGCTTACTTTGAGCTGCAGCAGAGATGGGCTGCAGGATTTGTGCAGTTCTGATCTCACTGGTTGGAATTCTCTTCTCTCCTATTTGCAAAAAATACAGGTGTGAAAAAGTCGTGTTCTTGCAGGGGTAGAACTCACAATTGTCTCTAAAATATGACCTAGTGATTCAAAAAGCTTGGAACTTCACTGTTTAATGACATTTTGCAGTGGCGCGTCACACTTTAAAATAGCCCTGTAGAGCCCTGACTTCAAGCATCCTGGAAGGATCCCAAAGGGGCTTTTGCCATTGGTGAGTGTGTGTGTGTGTGTGTGTGTGTGTGTGTGTGTATGCGCGTGTGCGCGTGTGCGCATATGTGCAGGTGTGCATATGCGCGGGTATGCATGTGCAGAGTCCTGGAAGGATCCGGAGAGGCTTTTGCCATTGGTTAGTGTGCATGTGTGTGCACGCACATGTGCGTGTGTGTGTGTGTGCGTGCGCACGTGCAGGTGTGCATGTTCAAAGTCCTGGAAGGATCCAGAGGTGCTTTTGCCATTGGTGTGTGTGTGTGTGTGTGTGTGTGTGCCCGCGCACATGTGCAAAACCACCCACATGTTCAAGCTCTGGATTAGAGGCCAGGAGGAGAGTCCAGAGAAGGAAAAACAGACCACACCTCCCCAAAGTCTTCAAAGCTGGTAAGAATTCCCAAGACAGCTGTTCTTTTGAAGCTCCCCACATGGTGTTTTATGGGGTTTTGGTTTTCAAATTACCATAGACCATGAACATCAGGATTTAGCCTCATGGATTTTTGCCCTATGCTATAGAGAATTCTTCACTTGGCATCTTGTTTTACTGCCTCTGGGAAAGGTGACAGGCAATTATAATGTCCTTTTAGCTGTAAGCTGAAGTAGGAATAATGATTTAAAAATACAAAGCAAATGTAGAGGCAGCTTAGCTTAGTCGTTAAGAATAGAAATTCTAGAACCATCTTGCCTGAGTTTGAACCCAAATTGTGTGCGCTTGGGTAAATCATTTAGCTGTGCTGTGCCTCAGTTTCCTTGACAGTAAAATGGGTCTGATTACAGAACCCCCTCAGATTGTCATAGGGATAAATGAGTTCATATCTGGAAAGCTCTTAGAATAGTGCCTGATACTTAATAAGTGTTTATTACATTTTAAAATATTTTTCAATGTGGTTTTTGGCTAGGCATGGTGGCTCATGCCTGTAATCCCAGCACTTTAGGAAGCCAAGGTGAATGGATCACCTGAGGTTAGGAGTTTGAGACCAGCCTGGCCAACATAGCAAAACCCCATCTCAACCAAAAATACAAAAAGTAGCCAGATATTGTGGTATGCACCTGTAGTCCCAGCTTCTCAGGAGGCTGAGGCAGGAGAATCCCTTGAACCTGGGAGGCAGAGGTTGCAGTGAGCCAATATCATGCTCTGAAAAAAATTAAATAAATAAATATGGTCTTCATTTTCTCTCATATTTCATAACAATCAGAAGTTATTCCACTGGACACTACAGGAAAAGCCGGCAAGTCAGTGCCACCCGGGAAAGCGGTAGCTATGGGACCAGGAAAGCATTGGCCACAGTGAGAGAAGAAGCAGGGCCGTGGCGGACTTGAGGAGAGCCAGGAGGAAGCAGGCGTGGGTTGGTGTTACAGGCGGACCCTCCTTTCAATAGAAGTATTCCTGGAAGGGGAGGTAGGGATGGCTGATTATAAGCAAAGCAGAGAGCAGAATAGGTTCCTTTTCATTTCCAGTTGGAGACTGTGGGAAGAGTCTCACAGATGCCCCTCTTTCCCTCACACCAACATTGATGGGATCCATCAGAGTAAACTGTGCAGCTGTTGGATGCTTAGGCCAAAGGAAGCCTACATTTAGTTCTCCCAATTCTTCCTCCACTCTCCTTGGGTGCCCTGAAGTTCTCGGCCTCTGTGGAGGACATGCAGAAGTTAGGTAACAGTGCTGGGAAGCTTACTAGGGATGTCACTGTGGTGAGATTAAACAGACCCTGTGGCTGAGGGCTACAAGCCAGACTACCTTCTCCTGGACCCAGTGGATATAGACATAGCCACAGATGCATCTTGTAGGGAGCAGGGGAAAAGGACCACCTGAGGACTGAATGTCCAAAAAAAAAAAAAAAAAAGACTGTGTTACCTATAGAGAACTTTCAATTATTTTATGCAACAGAGAGTATATAACAGACTGGCTTATCAGAGACAGAGGGGTAGGTGTTGTGAGGAATATCAGATAAGCTATAGAGAAACAGAAAAATTACATTTTTTTCTGCTCATCTAAGGGTAGTATATTTTAAATACATAATTCCAAAACAGAAACATTTCTTCAAAAAATGACTATTAACAGCATGCAAAGTCATAGTAGATGCTTGGAGGAATAGACACTGGAGTTAGATAAGGCTCTTGCCTAAGGTCTTGTGTAAGAAAAATGAAGCTCAGCATGAAAGAGCTTGCTGAGCCCAGGTTTGTCAGATTGAGTTGAAAGGATGGTTGAACCTTATGTGAAGGTATCCAGGAAAGAGCTGGGAATGTAAGGTTGGAGCTCAGGAGAGAGAAGAGAGATGAATATATTTGAGAGGACATTCACTTAGAGGTAACAACTAAAGCTTGCCAAAGAGAGTTGAGAAGCGTCCAAGTTCTATTCATTCATTTATTGGATGTACATGCACCAACCCCTTCTTGGCTCAGGTATAGCAATCAGTGTCAAGAAGGAAGAGTCTGGAAGTGGCCATGGTATTGCCCAAGGAAAGATCTAGAGTGTCAGTTTATTGTGTCCTCATGTGACAGAGACCACTTGGGGCGGCCAATTACCAAGTTCTCTTTTTCCCAAGCATCTGGCTCAACCACATTTTCCACTTTCCCTCAGCTTGGAGTGACCGTGGGGCCAAATTCTGCCCAGGAGCACGACAATGTTTGCACTATGGGCTGCTTGCCATATCCATTCCCTTTTATCTTCTACATGAAAGCAAAATTGCTTTTTATCCACACGATTTCCAGCTTAGTAAAAGAAGACACATTGAGGGGGTGGGACTGAATTACCAGAGTCCTCACTTACCCACCCTGCAAGGACTGGCATGTAAGGACATGAGTGAGAAATATACTTCTACTGTTAAACCACTAGGATGTAGGGTGTTTCTGTTTTAGATGCTGGTATTTTTTTTTTTTTTTTTTTGAGACAGGGTCTCATTCTGTTGCCCAGGCTGACATGCAATGGTGCAATCTCAGCTCACTGCAACCTCCACCTCTCAGATTCAAGTAATTCTCCTGCCTCAGCCTCCCCAGTAGCTTGGATTACAGGTGACTGCCACCATGCCCAGCTAATTTTTGTATTTTTAGTAGACACAGGGTTTCACCATGTTGGCCAGGCTGGTCTCAAACTCCTGACCTCAAGTGATCTGCCCACCCTGGCCTCCCAAAATGCCGGGATTACCAGTGTGAGCCACCACGCCCAGCTCAGGTGCTAGTATTACTATTTATCTAATAAATACAAACTAAGAGCAGTTTAACTCACTAGCTCACACTAAGAAAAACCCAAAGGAGACTGAGGTGGCTACCAGAATGACAATTTATTAATTCAATTTGACAAATGTATCTGTCATTCAGACCAGAAATTGTCACTGACATGCTCCAAGCCTTCTTCAGTTGCTGTCAGGCTGCTCGGGAGCCAAACAGTCCAAAGCCGCTTTGTCTGCAGGCCATGAGCGATCACTGCTCAAGGACTGGAAACACGTGGCGTCCAGGCACTCATCATGTTCTTGGTCAGTGGGTGATTCAGATGGGAAAGAGAGGTTGTCTGAGAAGCATGGAAGCAGGATAAAGGGAGTTATACAAAACCAGGGCTTAAAGATCAAGAGCTCGGAGAGTCTGAATCATCTGCCTCTTGAGATCACTTTCCAGTGTGACTAAAAAGATTGGACGTTGGACGCCTGATAACTTAGGTTCCCTATCAAACAATTCCTCGATAGGTCCAGCAACTCCTATTTCCTCCTTTCATGCTTTCACAGATGCTT